GGGGTAGTCTTTAAAATATATTATTCCCCAGTTTATGAATGTTTGTTTCGAAAAGCCTTCAGGGATTTTTAATTAGGTTGTTATTTCATGTCGTCGGGTTCCCATGCAGATTTACTATTATTTTTTACACTGACAGGCTTTAATCCTGTCTGACCTGCTAACTACATCCTTTGCATGTCATGGGGTGGAAGGGTGTACATAGGCTTTTGTGGCTTAGCTCATTCTCTGACGGGTTGGGTTCTCATGGATGGGGTTGATTATTTTAACATATGATAAAATTTTTAGAATTTCGGGGGAAAAGAAAAATTGGTCCTACGTTTAATATTTTTCCCCAAATAATTTCAGTTATTTCCTTCCAAAATCATCTATTTTCCCTAATTCAGCGGGAAAAGGCAATTTTTTTTGACACTCGAGCAAGCATATATTTTTAGAGGGTGGGGTAATGATTTTTCAAGATAATATACACCCCTGTATAATTCAGGAGTTAAGTTATGATGTGAGGAAGGAAGATGTGCAGAAACTTCTTCTCTCTGGGATAATTCAGGTTAAAATAATATAATTTTAATAAAAGCCCGTAATTTAAAAATAAACCGGGTTTAATTTTGAAAACCCCTGTATCGGTAACCTGGTTTCATGAATGTGAAGCACTTATAATTTTATTTTAAATTACTTCTTGATCACTCACTAAATGCTCATAGCGGGGGCTACACCAACTACTCTCCATACTGATTCTCCAGTGAAAAACAAAAATTCGTAAAATTCAGTATTATTTCATATTTCAGGAGAAGGAAGATACAAACTTTATCCAGTTGGTTGACTTTACCATGCGATTCTAATCAATCAATCAATCCAACATGAAAACCTATCAAGGAAACTTAATGATGATGAGTTGAGGATCGTGCATATTTTAAACAGTTTAATTATTGTGATTTTACAACACCTGAGATACCTGGTTTTTACGCTTTGATACAGAAAACAGTATTTTATTTTCATATCTTTTCAGAATTGTAAAAAATGCCCCCAAAGAGGAGAAAAATGGACCCTTTTGACGTTATTGACGAGTTTCAGCCAGACTCGGAGGTTGTTAAAAAAAATAATGGTTAAATCACTGAAAAGCAATTAAAAACTTGAAGAAAAAATGCTATTTCTTTTTAAACGATTGGCCCAGAAAAGGAGAAATCGTCAAATAGTTTTTGTTTTTGCTACTGTTCATTAAGATATTTTGAGATGCGCGCAAAAATATTTCTGGAATAAAGGATGGAAAGACCCCTTACATTGTTAATACTTAATTTTATATCTCCATTTTAAAAAATGGATTTTTCTTGTCATTTTTTGAGATAACTATTTTAGAAATGATCCTGATTTTCTAGGATTCTGAGGACATGTCCTGCTTTAAGTTGTTGGAGGCTGGGATGACTTTGAAGACAGTAGATGACGGAGGACAGGTGAAAATATGACCGAGGTTCAGGACTCTTCGTGCCGGTGTAGGGTTACTTTTTGGTCATTGACTCTGCGCAACAGAATTTCCGCGGCAACCGTGCTTATTTTTCTGAATGGAAACAACTAATCAAATTAAACATTTATCTTATATCGAAATATCTTTAGTTAAAAGATGTTAATGAAATTTAAACTATCGAACACATGCTTCATTTATGATAATATAATTTACTTTTCTCCTGTCATATAGCCGTATACTAAAAAATGGACGCTTGCATATTGTAATTTTTAAACCAATTCAACAAAATTTTAGATTAGAATAATTTGTTTTATCTTACCATACATTAAAGGAGGTCTGTCCCAGCAAATGATGTTTGCGACATGACCCTGATTTCAATTATTTTTCAAAACGAATTAAGGCTAGTTATTTTACAATATTTAAGGGTTAGGTCCAAAAATCGTTCTGTTGGAAAGAAATATTGAAGCTAATAAAATGATCAGAAAGANATCTAATTTTAAATTCGCTGTTGGCACAGGGGTTGGGTGTAAATACGAATATTCATTATTCTTTCGGTTGATTCAGGAGAACTGCAGGTTTTAAGTGAAGAAGTTGATAGGCTCCATGTCTATTCTCTCTGCCCCACCCCCATTCTCCACCATGCACCACCCAACCTCCCTCCTTCTTTCTAATCCCGTTTCCTTCCCTCTCCCTCCCCTCTTGTCTATTTGCTTACATTCAGAAAATGAGTGCAGTTGCCAAGTAGAGACTATGCACATTTTTTAACGATGACCAAAAAGTAACGCCACGCGGGCCATTATGGCTGTCGAGACATTTTATCTTCAATCGGCCTCCATCTTTTACGCGTTCAAGTCTTTGTACTTACTTTTATGATACCCCACTCTTTCCTAAATGAGAAAACTTAAAATTTAATTTAAAAATCTCGTATTTTTTATTTATTTCTTTTATTATTTCTCTTTTTTTTCAAATTCTACGAATAATAATAGACTTTAATTTTTGACAATTTTAGGTCTTCCTATCTATCTATCTATCTATTATTCCTTCCTAATAGCACGAATGCGAAAGGTACACCCCCCCCCCCCCTGCTATCCTTGCATCCTTCTAGAGTGCATGGATCACAGAAATAGCATGATATGTGCAAATGATACTGGAATGCCCAAGTGGAAGTAGCCCCAACTACCGTGACCGAATTTATCGTTTTAACATCATGCATTAGAGTAATCACTCTGGATCCATAGTTCCATCAAAGTCTAAGTTAAAATTGTTTTTGTAAAAAAGAAAATACGTGGGGAAAAATCGCTGAATATTTTAAATTTTTCACATTGATATTTAATTTCATTTTTGCAAAATAAGTATGCAATAAATATTTCAGACTATACTAAATTCGAAGAACTTTTCAAGTAATAAGTTTTCATTAAGGAAGTACAAATTCATTTCGAGCGGGTGAGTGACCTCTCTGATGATCATGACGAGGAAGAAGAGGAGGAGGTTGACCTTGAACATAATGATGTAAAGGTAGTTTAAATTTCTTTGTCGATTCATTTTATGAATCCCTTCACATAATTTCTTTGTCGATTCATTTTATGAATCCCTTCATATAATTTCTTTGTCGATTCATCTAATGAATCCCACTCTCTATATAATTTTAAATTTATCATATAATCTATTTGTCGATTCATTTTATGAATCCCTTATCTATAAATCGATAATGAATCCCACTATCTATAGAACTTTATAATTTATCATATAATCTATTTGTCGGTTCATTTTATGAATCACTTCTCTATAACTCAATAACTTATTATAAGCTTATTTATCAATTCATTTTAAAATTATTCGTTTCATCTCCTGAATACCCTTTTTTAAACACTCAGTTAACCGGGAGGGAGATTCTCTCTGTCAGCATTTAAATATGTATTTAATACAACTGTTTTGCAACTAGCTGACAAAAGGAATCAGACCGGTGACATGGCTCAAATTTGGTCGTGTGTCCGACGTTAGGATTTAAACTATGTCAGGCTGAAAAGCCTTCACCTATAGGGGATTGTGATGGCATACCCCTTGTAGGTCAAGGAGCTGTTGGACGCATCCCTAGCTGTATGATATGATATGATATGATATGATATGAAATACAACATCTTATATCTTAATAGAAAATAAGCAAGAAAAAGGGTTTGTGTGAACTTGTAAAAATTTATTTATTTCTAGGTTGAGAATCTAAGAGAAACCAGTCCGCTTAGAACAAGTATAGGAAAAAAATTCAGACCTTCCCTCCCCCCCTCACCCGTTTAAATTTTTTGTTTCACTTTCAATTAACATTAGTTAAAAACTTTTATTTGGTATAAAGTATAAACTATTCATATCTTATTCTTATGTATACCTTGAGAACAAATTTTTTAAATATTACTGTCTCACGGGGACCATCTTCTTTATTATATACTAGTTGAAGGGACCGACGTTGCCCGTGGAAAAAAATTTTGAAAAAAAATTCGATTTTTTTTAGCCTAACCCCGGCCACCCACAAATGTCCACAAGCAAATTCAGCCCAATCGGTCCAGCCGTTTGGCCGGCTATACGCATTAAGCAACATATTTATACGAATGTCTTGTTTTATTATACGGATATATACTTTGCTTGTCTGGGTGTCTGTTTGTTTTTTGTTTGTATCCAATAAACGTCAAAACGGCTAAACCGATCGGGCCCAGGGAAGGTCTATGGATGATCGAATTTTCAAAAATTTACCAAAAACAAAACTCGATTTTTGAAAATTAAAAAATCCACGATTTTTTTTTATAAAATCCGCGAAATTTTGTTTTGGTTTTGTTTTACAATGTATACAAAGAGAAAATGTTTACAAATAATATAGAAGATAGGCGCGAAGCGCTCTAAAAGCCTAGTTATTAATGGAGAGGAACAATACCGAAACCTCGTAACCTAAAACTCAAGTTCCAATCATCAAAACATTAAAAGTCTGTTAGCACGACATATTTCTTACCTGAATTTGATCAGTGCCAACAAAAATTCCAATTTGCTGGTTTTTTAACACCCTAATTATTATCTCCCTCAGGGGCTTCATTTTTAAAATCATATTTTGGACCCCTCTCTCATAGGTCTAAATTTTGTTTTTACTTAGAGCCTGACCGTTTAATTGATATACAAAAATCCTCTCACGACGGAACCATAGGAAAATAAAGATTACTTTAAATTGACATTTACATCGGTTTTAATATTCTTTCAGTTATTGTATTTTAGATATCTTCAAAAATAAGTGATCTTTAGTTGTAAACACATTTTTGGAAACTCTGTAAAGAAAAGTTTTTATTTCTAATTTCAATTCACACTCCATGGTAAGAATGGTATGTCCGTTTTACAAGGGTACCATTGAACACTTTGTCTGGTAAATATAAATAAGCTATCCATGTTTTTTGTTAAACCCGTGGCTAGTAAGACATTTTGTAATATCTCTTTCAATATTAATAGCAGCCGGTTCTATTTTTGAATGTAAACTCATATAATTTGTTAGGAGCAGAATATGAAGTCAGATTGTCGATATCTCTTTCCGGAGTCTTGGAACCTTGATAAGTGACCTCCGTCGGCTCCGATTTTTTATCTCCGGCCTCGTTGGACATAAATAGCCCTTTTTTTTAAATATATACTCCCAATGACCCCTAAAATACACAAAAAAAAATTTTATAGAAAGTTTTTGATGTCAAAACAGGGTGTCAAAAATTGCGTCATTTTTTAATTGCAAAAAATGCAAGTTCTGATAAAAAATATCGGAGTAAAAGAAAAGATAAAATATTATTTATATCATTATCTAAAAATTTCCGGAGTAAAAGAAAAGATAAAATATTATTTATATCATTATCTAACACATTGATGAAAAAAAAAATTCAAAAAATTAATTTTTTCTTGGGCTACGGGGAGTTAATACTTTTTTTTTGGACACATCACCCTTTTTAGGCATATTCCTCCTTGACTTCATTTCCTGCTCCTAGGTAATCATAAAACATTATTTTTAAAATAAGAACCAGCCACCAGGGAGGAAAACGCCTAAAAAGGGTGATTTGTCAAAAAAAAAATGTAAGCACGAAAAAATTAATTTTTTGAAATTTTTTTTTTCATCAATGTGTTCGAAAATAATATAAATAATATTATGTCTTTTCTTTTACTCCGATATTTTTTATCAGAACTTGTCATTTTTTGCAATTAAAAAAAAATCAAAAAAAGCAATTTTTGACATCCTGTTTTGACGATCAAAAACTTGATAAAAAAAAATATTTTTTTTTGTGTATATTAGGGGTCATTGGGATTATATATTTAAAAAATGGGCTATTTATGTCCAACGAGGCCGGAGACAAAAAAATCGGAGCCGACGGAGGTCACTTTTTAGAGGTTCCAAGACTCCGGAAAGAGATATCGACAATCTGACTTCATATCCTGCTCCTAACAAATTATATGAGTCTACATTCAAAAATAGAACCGGCTGCTATTAATATTGAAAGAGATATTACAAAATGTCTTATTTGCCAGGGGTTCTTTAATTATTTTTATTTGGGGGAATCTATTAAAGTATCTTGCGCATTTGTGCAGAAACAATAAGAAATAATTTTTTGAATTAAACACTTCTTAAGCTAAAAAACGACCATATCTATCACATTATTGATCAGAGCATGCCCATCCTATTTATTAAATGGAGACACTTGAAATTAGGACGTTACTTCCTTTAAAGGATTATTTTCTGATTTTATAAATCATTTTATCCGTACAGTTGTTATTAAATCCGAAGTACAAGCAGTTCAACAAGAGCACATCTGCCCTAAATCAAGCTGTGGAATAAGGTAAGAAAACAAGTAAAATCTAACAAAAGTTAGAAAGTTTAAAATGGGAAAACAAACTAGAAATTAAAAAAATAGCTAGACGATGGCTTTATAAAACTCTTTGCGTCTACAAAAATCCTCTATTTCTTAACCTTGAACTTTTATACGGATACCAGAAGGATGAAAAAACTCAATTTTACTTTTGTTCTGTGATAATTCCTGGAAAAAAATTTGGTTGATATATCAAGTTCAACGCAATTTTTTATTAGTCTTCCAATTCAGTATTGCTTCTTTTTGTTATCTAAAAGTGTTTTTGAATACCGATGGATTTTATTATTTTAGATTTTCAAGTAAAGCAGAAATCCATAAGCACGTCAACACAGTTCATATTAAAAAGGTTAGTTTAAAATAAATACCTTACGAATATTAATTATTTAAAGAGACTCCATTTATGGAATGACATGCCCAATTCACAACGGTATCCTTAAAACCTTTAACGAATGAATAATATGAAAAGAATCTTGTTTTTCTAGCTTCAAAAATGTTTAATTTTAACAATTTTAATTGTCTCCATTGTTTCTTTATTTCCAATCCAAAAGTCACTTTTATTTAAAAAAATCATAATTAAAAATTAAAACAGAATGGGATAAATTCCTCATTTTCGGGCAGATTTTGATTGGACCTTTGTGAATACCACTTTAAATTATGTCTACTAATCTCTTAAATAAACATGTCTGCAATATTTTTTATTTTCCTCAGAAATGTATATAGGTATTCATTTTTGAATATGTAGGCGAGTTGAGTATTTTGATTCTAATTGGTCCAATAAACAGAAATTGTGTATTTTACACGGAGCCCATATACTTTAATTGATTTAAATGCTACTTTTGGCTTTATGATCAGATGAAATACTCAAAAGATTGTTTAATTGCAGTGCTTAGGATCCATTTTATGGGATGCGGATCATGATCCTAATCATAGATTCGCTCGGAAAAAAATGGATCCAAATCCGTAATTTGATAAAAAAACGTTTAGATTTGTGTTTGGAGAACAAAATTTTTTTTTCGACAGGATTTGATTGATATTTTATGCCCCATTGGATTCGCATATTTTTACGGATCCGGATCCTAAGCACTGCTTAAATTTCGTCTTCTATCCGTTTAAAATCCTTGATTTATTGAAGTTTGAAGAGGAGACGGAGAAAACATTGATAATATCTGAAGATCTTTATTCTCCAACTATAGGTACAATTTGCTAAAAAGTACTAGTTTATGAAAATTTTAGAAAATTAAGATTTGACTTTAGCATGTTGTATTTTTTAACTTTTTCACAGGCAAAAAACCACATTCCTCTTTATCCTTAAAAATCCTTAAAAGATAATTTTTCCCAGTGAGGAAAGAGAGTTTTGAAGTTTTTTTTTCTCACTAAATTAATTATAGGGAAATGTAAATGGTTTTTAGTGTAATAAGTATCCCATTGGTGAAAACTTTCTAGTTCATAATAAATATTTTATTTGTTTCCTAAAGATGTAAATTTTTTAAATACAGGAAAATGACGTTTTGTCAAAAAATCTTTTTAATGATGATTTTACTTTTAGAATGTATCAACTGTAATTTCCAGTCAACCCAGCCTGATGAGATGGACTCGCATGTACTCAACGTTCATGTGAAGGTGAACACGTTCTAAATTATTTAAGAAACAATTTTGCTCTAATATAACCAAATAAATTAGATTTTGCGAGGGAAAAAAACATTCTTACTTATATCCTATCGAAAATTAAGGTCCTTTAATTAGAGCTAGCCACAAGTACATTTTCAGAGTTGAGACTTCCCTAAAAAATATTTTTTGTCACCTCTCCCCAATATCAATACTACATTTTTTCTACAGTAATTTTTGTTCTTAATCTCTCAATGTTAGCCTCATGAGGAAAACACGAGAATTTTTGGGGTCCAAATTCTCAAACTTCAGAGGATATGTGATAAATGGGACCTTTCCCTTTGTATCGATTTTGAATATAATCTACAGACCAATCATGAAGAATACTTCTGAGGTAGATCTACTAACATAGTAGTGTACTGTACTTTTCAAAAGTTATGTACTCAAAATTCATCATGAGGAAATATTTTGAGGGAGAACGGGAGGAGGGAAATTTTTAAGAAAAATGTCTTTCTAGAATTTTGCAAAAATTATCGTTTTGTTAACCTCGTTTTTTCAAACCTAATTTTTCTGTGCAGGATTCCCCAGATGATAGAAGCAGCCAAGGTTGCATCTATGTCGAAAATCTTGAAAACTCGAAACAAATTTTTAAATGTCCTTCCTGTGACAAACTCTTTGGAAAAAAGCAAAATCTAGGTATTCACTATTCATCTATATTTCACAACAAAAAAAATTTAAATAACGATAATGAATTTTTTTTATTCCTTTTGTTTTTACAATGATGATGTAAGATTTTCCAGAATCTTTCATGATGGATTTCCAAAAAACAGCAACTATTTTAAGGTCAAAGTTAAATTCTGACTTGCCTTAAACCTTTCATGACCAAAAAAGTATGGATCTGATTCGTTCAGTCTCGTTTATTGCATGCAATCAAACTATAGACAAGCTAATACAAGAGAAATACATAATGATTATTTTCAGTGCGGCACATCCGTGAGAACCATTCCAGTGCTGCTAGCTACTCCTGTTCTAGTTGTACCTTTAAAACCAGCAGTTCAAACATTTACAGGAAGCATATAGCAAAATGTATAAAGGTTAGTTAGTACACAGTTCAGTACATGCAACTTTGTTCTTGATATAAGAAATAAACTAATTTCCAAAATAAATATCTGTACATAATCTTTTTATTCCTATTCATGTTCCACTCGCATTTTTTTACGCAGCAAACACGATTGAAACTAAATATTAGAACAAAAACTACTTTATTTAATAATTTTAAATTTACTTAAGATCAATAGACACTATGGTGAAATGCATCCTAGCAGTGATTCAGTGTATAGTGAAGCCAGTGTCATCAAAGGAGTTAATTACAAGGAATAATTACTCATCTATCAATCAATAACATTTTTATATAATTATCTTCTAATAGCTTGGGATGTAATAAATCTAGGTCCCGAGATTACGCTACTCAAAGTCTAATTTATTCTCACAAACTCTATTTCTAGCCAAAACTCAAGGCTTTCAATCTCTAGCCAAAACTCAAGGCCCTCTGTACGTCCGTATAACACAACGTTTTATGTAGAACTAAATTTATTTATATACAGGTAAATCAAACTGACCGGATTAGCCGGTCAGGGTCACATTGAAACTAGATAAGATATATTAATAACATGATAATAAGGATCGTGATAACCATTACAACAGAAAATGCTACAGGGACACCCGCTTTGTCTTGGGATCTTAACAATTTTTAAAATCAAGCCAAGAACAGTTCCGTGCTTGTAGTGAGTAAACCAATCAGTATTTGAAGCAAATCGGTGAAGGGGTTCATGAGTTATGATCGGACCAACCAACAAATAGATATTATTATTTTTTATAAATATGAACATTAATAAGTTGGGCCAGGAACTTCTTAGCAATTTCCTATAAATAATAAAAAATTGCTCAAAGCTCAAAATTTAAGTCATTTATGTTGATAAAGCTTTAGGCTTTAGCTACGTAGTATAAAATGACCCTTCATTAATTGCATCATATGAATCAGTGTTGTTCTAAAACGTCAAAAAAGAATGCAAACAACCCTTTAACTCTTTACTTTAGATTTACCGACTGATTGAATAAATGATTGATTGACTGATGATAATGATTAGTGTGTGTGTACCTGGTGCGAATATAAATCTAATAAATACTCCCACGTCAAGAAGCATATAGATATATATCATGAGTCTAAATCCAATTATCCTTGCAAAGAATGTGTTTTTGTTGGTAAGTAATTATTTAATATTTATAATGATGCAGTGGGGTTACTGAACTAAACCGGGATGTATTTTTGGAAGGGGGCGGGGGATACTGTGTACAAAACCTCTGTGTTTATACCATTTCTTTTTTTTCTAATCCATGTTTAATTATAACTGAACTAAAAACGAATTATTTAGCAAGGTGTGCCAATAAGCCTTTTTTATCTCCGCCAATGTCTAAAATGTGCAGCTTTTTTCGCGGTCTTAAAACCTTACCTCAGTTTTCTACTTGCATTAATCTTATTCTTAATCTATCTTATATTTAACGTTAATGTTTAATATTATTCTATGTTTAGGGAAGAATGTTGATGACTACGCCAAGCATTTTAATTCATTTCATCGGACGGATGATTACAAACACGCATGCACCGATTGCAGTTTCAAGTGCACCAACAGGAATCCACATAGTTCTTCAAAAATCAGCGAAATTTTTTTTTTTGGGGGGGGGAATTTTTATGTAGCTTACTTGACTAAATGTTTTCCTTATTTTCCACAACAAATTGACTAGTCATTTAAAATTATGTTCTCTATCCCTTCTCAGGAAGATTAATTTAATTAATTAATTAATTAATTAATTAATTTAAAACCGGTTCTTCCTTTATGAACTGTAAAAATTATAATTACAATTGTGAACAATGAACAGAGCTGACTTACGGGCGCATTATATTGAAGTACATAAGAAGCAGCGACTTTACGCCTGCAGGAAATGCAAGTACAAGGCTCAGGTAGCAAAATAAACCATCCGGTGATTGCTTATTAAGTGTTGTTCAATGTTCTTGTTTCTTATTAGCTAGAATCTTGATGATGAGAAAAATATTTTTTAAGATGAAATATTAATGTTTTTAGGATGTGATAACGATCAAGAAACACATTGCTAAAACTCATTCAACTTTCATATTCAACTGCAAGGTAGTTAATTATTTAATATTACATTAAAAAACGTACCTTTTTAACTTGTCTCTGATCAGTAATGTAGAAGATATCGTCGTTTTTCTGGTTTGAAAAGTGGTTTATTATAACAATTTCCTCTATTGAAACAATATTCTGCAAGTTACTCATCTAGAAAAAAACAAATTTGAAAGAGTCTAGCATGGATAAACTTAAAAATTCTAAATCAAATGAAGTTTCTAAGGGTACCGTTGAAAATCGGACATACCACAGTTTATGAAGTCACTTCAAATTATGTCTACAGTCCGATTTAAGAGTTTTAGGTCTTGTTCTTTATGAGTACCCCCTGACCCCTGTTGTGAACGCATAGTAATTGTTTTAGGCGTGTAATTTCTCAAGCAATTTGAAGAATGAATTCAACAGACATTGTTCAGAGGTAATAAACTTAATCTTTCTCTATTTTATAGCGATGAACCAACTGTTCCAACTAAATTATGCATTCAACTCCACTTTCTCGTGTCAAAGTTTTCGTCCTTCTCCATTTTGGCAAATCTGCACATGCGCTTCTATTATTTAGCATGGTTTGACGATAACGAGCATAAAGTGTTGAAGATCTTGGGGGGAAGGGGTGGGGTGGGTAAAAAAGTGGAGATCCAATTATTTTTATTTATCACACAATTAACCAAAAATGTAATTATTTTCTCCTAAACATCCTTTATTTTCTCGATTTCAGCGAATAAAACTCTAAAAAAAAAGTTGAGCTTCGATAAATACAAGGATATATTTTTTGAAGAATTGGGGGTTAGAAGATCTGGCGACTAAAATCCTAAAAAAAAACAATTGGTTCTCCGTGCAAAAATACCTAAGATCAGCATAAAAAAAAATATTAATAGGAGGGTGGTTTAGATAGGGATGAACTGTTAAAGCTGGGTTATCCAAATGCCAACACTTTGTTAACAATAAAGTGTGTATAAAGACTTTTGTATTGTTATTGTCAACATAACTTTGATTTTTCTTTATTATTATTGTTAAGGTGCATGGTGATTGTTTCCAGCTAGGTGATATGTTCGGTAGTCAGATAGGACAGGAGATGCAGGAGATTGTTGAGCAGGTAAACTTATTAGAAAAATTAGAAAATTCCCTTCTATTCCCTTCTATCCTAACCTAACCTATCCTAACCTATCCTAACCTAACCTATCCTAACCTACCTTATCATATCATAGCCTAACCTATCCTATCCTATCCTATTATCCTAATATCCTACTCTTTTCATTTTCATTTCATTGTATCCTTTGTTATGCTATTCTATCCCATTTTATCCAATTCTATTTTTTTCTATCCTATATAGTCATATCATTAGAATGGCAATCCGTTTTAAAGTTTTTAGAATGTTGTAGATTGTAGATGAATGTAGATCTCTGAACTAAATAAATGAAATCACTTTCTTTGGAAAATAATTCAAACAGAGATATATGTTTTGACCTATTTGTTGTTTAGGTGACAGATATTGAAGAGGAGGAGGTCCCAGAATCAGAAATAATGGAAGAACAAATTTTCGGTGAGTGGTCACTAGTCAGCATATATCTATATAACAAAACAAGACATTCCTATAAATGTTCACTATAGCTGGCCAAAAGGTTGGACCGAATGGGCTGACATTTTTCGAGGGAACCCAGGGGTAACATATGCTAAAAAAAATTTTTTTCTCAAAAATCTTGTTTTTTCTTTTTTATAAGTTGTTTTTTTTTAAATCCACGGGAAACGCTGGGCACTTCACAGGGGCGGATACAGGATTTAAGACAGGGGGGTGCAAGATTTTTTAGGTACAAAAAAATGTGTAAATAGGAACAAAAACGTTAAGCGCCTCAGGCAAAAAAAAAATTTTAACCTGAAGGACTGAAGACTATAAAACTAGATTTTTAACTTATCACACATTATAGTTTATTAAGATAGATATTTTGCCTGTTTTACATTTTGTTTTTGAGAAGCTATTCAAAACAAAACAAAAACTGGAGGTATAAGATTTATATGTTTGATTTAATCTATAAATAAATGTAATACGGAAAAATTTTTGAATCATGAATAGTCAATACTAATTTTAATACAGGGAAAGAAAGGATGTAAATTTTAAATGCTTGTCAAGATCAAAAAGCTCAAATCTTCAGTTTTCCCAAAACTAAGATTCGAAAAAAACTTCCTGCCAGCTTGAGGATAATTAAAAACAACTTCTTCTAAACCAGACCATATTTTATATTTAATTTCAATTTGTCTCGTTGTTACTTTTTGTATTATTGTATTGACTAATGTTCCTTTTTTAAAACAGAGTTCTTTCTTTTTTAAGATTTTTTCCTAAAATCTCATGTTGGTTAACTTACCTGTTTTTGTTCCTTATTTTAAGAACGTCTTTTCTTTTTATCTATAATTTGATCAAACAGGTTCTTGGTTTTGTCTCAAATACCATAATTCCTTCGAATAACTTGATAAATGGGTACAAACGATAAAGTAGATTAAGAAAATTATTGTATCAAATTGAAAACATTTTTCCTTTGCGTTGCACCCCCCTGAGATATTTTTGCCCTCTTGTCAGACANTAATTCTAAAAACTATTTACCCCGCCTTTTGAAATGATTATTTAAATTTTACAGAGGAACAAATACTGGAGGAAGAACATATTCTCCAAGATGAAAATATTCTTGATCATAATCTTGGTGGAGATGAGATCGAAGAGACTGAAGAACTAATTGAAGAGGAAGTTATCTCAGATTTCTACGAGGGTTCTGTTATGCTTCTCTCATAGCATCTAGATGACAAGCAGATGTAAAATTAATAGGACAAATTTCTGCAGCAAAATGTCGGTTTATTTAATACAATTCGATTTTCTTTTCTGAATGGTGCAAATTGTGAATATAGTTAATGCAACTCAAGACTCATTTTTAAAACAAGAAATCTTTTTGAGTAATTCAATTTTAAAAGTTATGAATATGAGAATACCAATTATGATGATTATTGTTTAATAATTTGGGATGCTTTGTTATTTTGCTAAGAGGTTAAAAAATATATTTTGTAGAAAGATGGATTTTAAAAAGTTTTTCAGAAAACATCACTTTAAAGTCTGTTACTTCAGATTTTATTGATGTTTTTCAATAGATAAATATTCAGTCTCGGAACATGTTTATTTTAGGGTAGCTGCTGGGGGCCGGGTGGGAGAGAATGGACAAAAAAAATTAATCCATTTAAAGTTCTTGTGATTGAAAATAAGTATTTTTAGTAAAAAATTAGCATTAACAAGAATTTAGTCCAAGTTTGTTATAAAACTTGAATTGAATTTTAATTTTGAGATTTTTTTTAATCATTATTGAACTGTTTAAAATTTCAAATTTCGTCCATTATAAAATGTTTGTCTTTTCGTCTTCATTGTTCTATTCCAGTTGACCACCCTAAATGTGTCTAATGTCAGAAAGCAAGATTATAATTGTAATGGTTATGGCTAATCAAGGAATAGGAAAACTATATACAGCACATATATGATGGTTTTAAGACGGATTAATTATTCTTCTGCAAAGCAAAGGCCTGATGTATAAAAATTCATCAACAAATTTCCATCTCGTTAAATAATTCCTTTTTTTACTTTTAATTCTTGGTATTAAGACATGATTATGAGGTTCCATAAAAATGAACTTTCTTCTTCAAGTGATTGTAGAATTGTTCTTTTCTTATAATCTCAGAGTAAAAAAGAATATTTAAATAAGATCAGATATGTATGGCTAAGTTGTAAAACTATTTTTCACAACAAGTAAAAATTTATTTAAATGTTTGCGTAATCAACAACAAGGGGAGGGGTGGTATTCTTCTAAAGTATATATAATTGTGATTCTATTTTGTATTATTAAGATGAAGGTATTTTCAGGAAAATGTCGAGGATTGAAGATGTTCTCAGCATTATTTCAGATGGGCTTCAGGTATCTTATTTTTTATTTAAGAAGAAATATCTTAAAGCTATTGTGATTTTGTATTAAGCATGATACCCCTTGTTTACGGTGGGGGCCATAAAACTGTGGAATGTGAAGACGATATTTTCCCTTCACTCTCCTTTAGATATGTATAGGGATGGTAGACAACGCATGTCAAATTCACAACAGTACCCTTTAAATCTTATTCCGAGTAACCTAAGGAAATTATCGTTTTCTCTCCTGAAAAGTACTGAATTCTGTCAAATTCCCTCATTGTCTCTGCGCTGCGCAAAGTAATCTCTATTAAGATATAATTTAGTCAGGGAAACGTGGATTTTTCATTTATCCTTAATCTGACCAAAGAGCAAGGTTATGAGTCTGACATAATTCTATATATATAGGATCATTTGAAATTACGTGTACCGTCCCTTTCATGCTTCCAATGTTAAGGCTGTCACGGAGGGGTGTAAGCTTCCAGTGCGAATGAAGAATTCAGAGGAATGGCCGAAAGCAGAAGTAATTAGTATACGCCAGGTTAAAACTTCAATATTTACGGTTTTAATGACAAGTCAAATTCTGTTTAAAGGAAAGTGTCCGGTACACTTTCCTTTAATTAAAATGTTCTAGTCCCCTTGTATTTTAAACCTGATGCTTTAGACCTTTGAAATTTTAAACTTTAGCTATTTAATCTAGAAGAATTCATTGTTAGAAAAAGCAAAAGTAAAAACCATTCAGTTATTAGGATAAACATAATTTAAATGATTAAGTTTAAGTTTGATGGGAGTAATCAGTTCCTTTGTCTAAAAGTTTATGCTATTTGTCCTTCTGTCAAAAATCGTACGTTTTATTAAAAAACGACTACATGGACATTGGTCAAAACATTTTATGCACTTAGAATAATACGTGGGGATCTGAGATTGGTAGACTGTCCCAATGTCGGTTGTCCATTGAAGTGAAATTTTCATTTTTGATTTAGTACAATCATCTTGAATTTGAAGTATGGTGGAAGTAGGACATCCTTAGGGCCTAGAAATTTGATTTGATTTGATTTGATTTGGTTTGGTTTGGTTTGGTTTGGTTTGATTTGATTTGATTTGATTTGATTTGATTTGATTTGATTTGATTTGATTTGATTTGATTTGATTTGATTTGATTTGGTAGTATGATCAGAGTATGGCAGTAGGATCGGAGTATGGTAGTAGGATCAGAGTATGGCAGTAGGATCGGAGTATGGTAGTAGGATCAGAGTATCGTAGTAGGATCAGAGTATGGTAGTAGGATCAGAGTTTAGTAGGATTAGAGTAGGGTAGTAGGATTAGAGTCGGGTAGTAGGATCAGAGTATGGTATTAGGACCAGAGTATAATAGGATCAAAGTATTATAGTAGGGTCCAAGTATAGTAGTAACTAGTAGGACTAGAGTATGGTAGGATTAGAGTATGGTAGGATTAGAGTATGGTAGGATCAGAGTATGGTAGGATCAGAGAATGGTAGGATCAGAGTATGGTAGGATCAGAGTATGGTAGGATCAGAGTATGGTAGGATCAGAGTATGGTAGGATCAGAGTATGGTAGGATCAGAGTATGGTAGGATCAGAGTATGGTAGGATCAGAGTATGGTAGGATCAGAGTATGGTAGGATCAGAGTATGGTAGGATCAGAGTATGGTAGGATCAGAGTATGGTAGGATCAGAGTATGGTAGGATCAGAGTATGGTAGGATCAGAGTATGGTAGGATCAGAGTATGGTAGGATCAGAGTATGGTAGGATCAGAGTATGGTAGGATTAGAGTATGGTAGGATTAGAGTATGGTAGGATTAGAGTATGGTAGGATTATTGTATGGTAGTATCAGAATATGGTAGATCGGAGTATGGTAGGATTAGAGTATGGTAGGATCAGAGTATGGTAGGATCAGAGTATGGTAGGATTAGAGTATGGTCTGATCAGAGTATGGTAGGATCAGAGTATGGTAAGATTAGAGTATGGTAGGATTAGAGTATGGTGGGATTAGATTATGGTAGGATTAGAGTATGGTATGATCAGATTATGGTAGGATTAGAGTATGGTAGGATTAGAGTATGGTAGGATTAGAGTATGGTAGGATTATTGTATGGTAGTATCAGAATATGGTAGATCGGAGTATGGTAGGATAGTATGGTAGGATTAGAGTATGGTAGGATTAGAGTATGGTAGGATCAGAGTATGGTAGGATCAGAGTATGGTAGGATCAGAGTATTGTAGGATTAGAGTATGGTAGGATTATAGTATGGTAGGATCGGAGTATAAAAGTTTAATTTGAACAGGTGAAAGGTGTGTTACAGTACTATGTTCACTATGTGGATTACAATAAGCGACTAGATGAATGGGTTACTGAAGATAGACTTGATACAAGGAAGATAGAATCTGCACAGGTTAGTAGAATATATAGTCACTAGTTACTCTTAGTAACCTATAGATTGAGTGTGGCATTTTATTACTTATGATTTTTTATTTAATGAAAATTGTAACCAGGTGTTAGTTTGACCACATTAGTAAGGGGGCACATGGGCAGCAATTTTGCTCTATTTCTATTAAATAATTTCCAAATCTTCCAAGAGCAATTCTGAGTTTAAGCATTTTTCGAAGTGTCTTCTTTACACGATTAATATAAAATGGGGCCGGCTTAATATTCCTCGCTACTCATTAAATCTAGTCACCTGAATTAAGTTTTTATGCCCTGTGCAAAAGATATTGAGATTCGACAATGAACGCATGCTGTGTGCTGCATGTTGATGCGCTGCGGCTTGAAGGGGTTCCATGTTGTGTTCCCTTTCAGATCTTTCTATTATATATTTCTATCTGTGCTAGTCTATGATGTAATAAATATAAATAATTGGGTTGCTTACGTTGACACATTTTGATAGATGTATTTAATGTTGATTAATGGTTTATTTAGGGTAAGGATGAGAAAGGTCATAATAACACCTGTCACACAACAGGATTCAACACACCAAAGAAAGCAACAACATTATCAGGTTTGCATGTGTACATGTCAATTATGGGTTTAAAGGGACTGTAAGCGTAATTTAAAGTGCTCCTCCATGCAAAGATGGCAATGCCCGATTTACAACGGTACTCGTAAAAGCTTTGTCTGGTCAAGTATTATTAACGTTTATAATTTGGAAAACTGATTATTTTTCAACAAAAAGTGACAACAATAAAAAAATCTTCCACAATGTGATTCTTTACATCTTTGCATCTATGGTTACTTGAAATTACACTTTTAGTCACTTGAATGAATTATTCTGAAAATTATACTATACCATACTAATCCGAAAACCTAAAAATACTAAATCCTCTATATAGGTAAAAGTATTTTTAGGTATTTTTTAGACATTATTTTCAAGTCTAGCATCATTTAAAAAATGATCTCCCATTTTTAAATACGGCAGATTTTATCGTCTAAATACAATTAATATTTTTAAAATGTATGTTTTGTTTAGCAAGTGTTAGTAGCTCTAGACCACCATCTCCAGGTGGCGAGGAACCACTAATTACAGGGCCCACAGTTCTCCAGGTAGGGCTGGGAACTGGTGAGCAACCGCTGATAACAGGACCAACAGTTCTTCAGGTAGGAGTAGGAGTAGTAAGGAACCAGGGATACCAGGTCCATCTTTTCTCTAGGTAGGATTATAAGTAGTGAGAACCAGATAGGACAAACAGTTCTCAAGATAGGACTAGCAGTAGTGAGGAACTAGGAATAGATACCAGATCCATATCTTCTCCAGGTAGGACTAGGTGTAGTGAGCTTTGTATGATCATTGATCAAGACTGAATGAGATATCAAAGCCATTTCTTTTCTTAAATTGATTATTTTTATTTGTGGTTTCTTTATTAAAGGAACTTTCGGGTTTCTGCTCCAGAAACAATGAGGAAACTGTCAGAATGAAACAGTTTTTAGGCTTTAAAAAACGACTATATCTCTTTATCTTCATTATTGATCAAATAATATATAAAGGTGAATCCCTAAATGGAGGGTCACATGAAATTACAACTTAAGACCCTTTAACCTTGATCTTCTAATGTAACAAGGATCCTAGTAAAACATAAATACTAATTAGAGAAATATATGTTTAGGCTGCTTTACAGAAGAAGACGGCTAGGAAGCGCAAATCCCAGAACAGCATCAGTGCAGATACACCTTCTCAACCCCAGGATGTTAACCAGGTACTTAAATAAGTCAAATTCACTCGATTATAAGTTCTGCAGGACCCCCTTCCCGCTATGGATTACCTTACAATGTGAAAGAACTAGTTTTATTGTACTGGGCTTGACAATATTGCTTCAAGTATTAAATTGCTTCCACTGATAATAGAAATTAGAAAATGTCTTAGATGTTTGCGGGATTTTATTCATGTTTTATACCTTATCATTGTGCATCAACTTGAAAAATGTTCAAATTTGTTTAAATTTTTAAGTCTTCTGAGGATGTTATTGATGGAGGTGAGAAGAAGGATGGAGATAAGGATAAAACCCCTAGCACACCTAGACTAACAGGATCTCTAGCAGCTCCAGGAACACATGATGATGCCATTACAAGGTAGGATTAGGAACCCCTAGCACACCTATTAACAGCATCGATGAAAATTTAATTTGGGAAGAAAAATGTATTAATATGCAAACAATGTATTTTTTAGAGATTAACTTATATTAGGAAAGAGAGGAATTTTTACTTAATTTTAATTTTTTGATAGGGAAAGAAAGAAAAAATATAGATATTTCTTTATTTTTTGTATTAAGGATGAAGAATGTTGAACTAATTGAACTGGGACGACACAGAATCAAACCTTGGTACTTCTCTCCCTATCCGATAGAACTAGGAAATCAAACCTTCAACAGTTTTCTTTTCGTCAGTTTATCATCATTATTAATTAAATACCCTCGGGTTTAAATGCTTTGGGCTGATATAAAAAGCACTAGATTTAGAGTAATCTGCGGAGTTTGTCACATACTAAAGATGAGCCAACATTCTGAAAATAATTCAGTTGTCGAAACTTGTAAATCCAATGAGAACCTTGCGGGATTAAATAAAAGTTAGAAAGATGGTTAAAGGGAGTGACCGGCAATGTTTGGTAGTTGAACTGAGTATGCATGCAGTATTGTGGACAAATTTTATAGGATTCATTTGAGACATGTAAAACGTTTCTACGACGTATATTTACCGAGTTTTAGCGCAAAGTCGACATCCAATATCATGAATTTGGGTGGGTACGTTTTCAGAATCGTTTTTTTTTTATTCTTATAAAGCGACGACAAAATATGTAAAATGACAAAATTCTACAGTGAACTAATTAGTTGTTTAGGAACAGGTTGAGGAAAAATAAAATTGACTCTTATCATCAAAAATTATAATAAGAAATCTTATTCAAATATTAGTTTCTATAATCTCTCATTATTCTCAAAGATTTTCTGGAATTTTTATTGAAAAGACAACATTTGAAGAATTTGTAGAAATCTGCGAACAAATTCATAGAAAATAAGAAATTCAATGTTATGATGATAACGAAATAATTGATTTCTAACATTGATCTAATGACCAGTTTCTTTTGAGAAATTTGTTCCTAAACATCTAATTAGTTTTTTACTTCATTTTTCTTCGTCGTTATTTAATGATACAAAAAAACTGATTCTGAAAACGTACCCACCCAAATTCATGATTTTGAACGTCGACTTTGCACTCATACTCAGAAATTATACATCGCGGAAACGTTCTATATGTCTCAAATGAATCCTAAAAAAATTGTCCACAATACTACATACTCCGTGCAACCATCATACATTGCCGGCCACTTTCTTTAAATGTTCCTCATTGTCAAAAATCAAAGTTATTTATTATGATGTTTAATTTTTTAATTCCTTTGGATTATATTTTATATTGATAAATTGATTAGTTTGTGGTTTGTACAGTAACCCTACCTTGTATCTACATCTGTGAGTTTTGTCTCAAGTTTGTCAAGTCTAGAATTGATTGGTTTGTGGTTTGTACAGTAACCCTACCTTCTGTGAGTTCTGTCTCAAGTTTGTCAAGTCTAGAATTGATTGGTTTGTGGTTTGTACAGTAACCCTACCTTGTATCTACATCTGTGAGTTCTGTCTCAAGTTTGTCAAGTCTAGAATTGATTGGTTTGTGGTTTGTACAGTAACTCTACCTTGTATCTACATCTGTGAGTTCTGTCTCAAGTTTGTCAAGTCTAGAATATGCTTGGAGAGACACCTGGCTAAATGTAATCTAAAGGTAGGATATAAGCACATCACGATTCTCGTTGATCCAAATGTCCGGGTTTGATGGTAGTGAGCGAGTAAAAACATTTTTGATCCATGCTTTTATTCTTTTTCATATTTTTGATTTGGCTCATTCAAATTGGTAATGTCAAAATTATGCATAGATACTAGTACGAGCTCATGTCTCCTCCAGTTTAGATTTTACATCCAAGAGTCAGAAAATCAAAGTTGTCTGATCAAAACTTTGATTGTATTCTTAGCAGCTCTTTATACAATAGTAATCATTAATTTTACGTTGATCTATTTTTTATTTTATTTTCAGCATCCTCCTGGGAATGAAATCTACAGAAAAGGATCCATCTCTTTCTTTGAAATTGATGGTCGTAAAAACAAGGAAAGATATACATATTATATTCTTATTTTATATTAAATTTTTTCTCTTAAAAGGGGTGACCGGCAATGTATGGTAGTTGAACTGAGATTGCAGTATTGTAGAGATTTTTTTTAGATTCATTTGAGAAATATAAAATGTTTTAATGATCTATAATTACTGAGTTTGAGTGCAAAGTCGACGTTTAAAATCATCAATTTGGGTGGTTACGTTTGAGAATCTTTTTTTTAATTTTAAAATAAAGTCGACAAAATTACAGTAAAAATTTTAAAGTAAACTAATTAGATGTTTAGGAACATATTTCTCAAAACTTTGTCAGTAAATCATTGTTAGAATCAATAATTTCGTTATATCCTTAAATTGAATTTCTTATTTTCTATGAATTTGTTCGCAGATTTCTACAAATTCTTCAAATGTCGTCTTTTCAATAAAAATTCAAGAAGATCTGCAGAAAATCTTTGTGAATAATGAGAGAATATAGAAACTAATATTTGAATAAGATTATTTATTTTCGATAATTAGAGTTAATTTTTATTTTCTCAACCTGTTCCTACATAACTAATTAGTTTACTGTATAATTTTTGTTACATTTTTTGTCGTCGTTATTTAATAATTAAAAGAAACGATTTTGAAACGTACCCACCCAAATTGATTATTTTGAACGTCGACTGTGCGCTCAAACACTGTAATTATAGATCTTTAAAACGTTTTATACTTATCAAACAAATCCTAAAAAATTTCTCTAACATACTGCAATCTCAGTGCAACCATCATACATTGCCGTCACTCCCTTTAAATCAAGTTTTGGGGAGAAAGGTTCATACTAAAAAATATTCTCTTAAACTTTAAATTTTAAAAATAGAATTAAGGAAGTAAAATTGTGCAATCAAAGAATAATGTACAAGGTTCCGAAGGTGCTTCTCGAACCTCTTTCTTGCAATAATTGTTTATTTTAAGATTGACTTTAAAAGCAGCCACTTATTCTTGTAAAACATTTCATTCGCCGATTTTTCAGTTTTTAATAATTGGCTTTCCTAAATTTTGTATGGCCAAAAACCTGCCCTGGGGCGATGTGTCCTCACAAATATTGGGCCGAGTAGATTAGCCGTGTTGACAGTTTTAAATACAAAGAGTCAAGCTTCATTTATATTTATTATTTAGATAGTGTTTGTAAAATGTATATTCCTTGATATAGATTTATGCGCAAAACCTATGTTTGCTTGCTAAACTTTTCTTAGATCACAAGGGAGCCACCCAACTCGATAAATCTGCTGTTAAACATTCATTCAATTGTTAGCTCTAGTGAAACCCATAAAACTGTGGAATAGGACGATCGTTGACCACCTGTAACCAGTGCACTTGATGTTTTAAAGCAGTTGCTGTGTTTCATGATCATTGGACCGCTTAAAATTAGTTTAAGTCTTACAGTCGTCTTCCTATTTAACAGTTTGATAGATTTATTTATTTATAAATATATTTGTGGGTTATTAACTTATTGTTCTAATGTATATTCACTATTCAATTACCTCAGTCTAAGCAAATGGAAGTATGACATACCTAAAACGGTCTGGGGTTGGAACTTTTGTGGGGAGTATTGTTAATCTTGAAGTCTTGATCTCCAATGTTGGCACTAAAATTTTAGGATGAATGCTTGATGCCTGAATTAAAGTCAACCCTGCAGAGTAAGGTCACCATGGGACGTCAAAAAGGACCTTATGTCTGCTAAAGCTGGAGATCAATGCTTGATTTAGATCTGGTTTGATTGGATGGTTCACCCTTTCTGAACTTATTTTTAAAGTTGTGTGCTGTATGGTTAGACCCTGTACTACGACACAGATCCTTTCCTCTTCTATGTTATGTGTGAATGCGATAGCAAGGAAACAAACAGCTATTAGTTTCATTTTTTATAACCCCCTCCACCCCTGATTTGGAATGTATTTTTGAATACTTATTAATTTATTTGTTCCAATGCCACAGAGTCCTTATGAATACTAGAGTCTTCATTGTGGATTTTTTGTCCCCACAAAGAGATAAACATTTCATTCATTTTAAAAATTCCTAACTTTTCTCTCATTTGTTGAGTGCACATTTTAGATATCCATAGGAGTTAACTTGATATTAAATACAAAAGATACAGATCAGCGCTCAAGGAATTAATAATGTTAAAGTTATGACCCCCCAACTTAAAGCTGTTGATTGTGCCAGGGTTGTCATATTGTTGGATATTTCTCTAAAGAGAAGGAGTCAAGTGAAGATTATAATGTTGCCTGTATCCTAGTTCTTCCACCATATCAAAGGTAAGACAGTACCAGTGTCCTTCATCAGTTCACCCCCTGGCTCCTAGAGAAGTTCACACCATTTTAACACAATTCTAAACATTAAAAGCAATTTGATAACATTGAAAAATTGTAGAGTTACACAAATAAATGCCTTAAATGTATTTTTTGGAGGAAAGCCCTAAAAAAGTTAGTAATCCTCAAATGTTGTTTTCCATACAAATTACAGGGGAAGAAAGTTCCAACCCGTAATTTCGCATTTAAATTTTTAATGGTAATTGATTTCATTTTAGAACATGTCACAATTTTGAGACATTTAACAGATTTGAATCAATGATATTTTCAAGCATTTACACAATTTGGTAACAAAACAAGTTTTTTTGCATACAGTAGAATTAAAATAATGAAACAATAAAAATGTAAATAATTCATTATGTTCTGATATTTCAAAATATAAAATAGTAATAAATTGAACAAAACAATGCTGGAAATGTTTTATTGAAAATGAAGGAAACTTAAAATCATCTAAACTCTCCCTATTTAAAACTATTATGTGCAAACAAATTTTATTTCAATCTAGAAGATAAAAATATTTTCAGTGTTTCATGCTATTTTGTAAATTATGAAAGTATGTTTTGTTCTGAATTGTTGAATATTTCCAAATTATGGATTGTTTCAAAAGTTGGTTTTTGTCTCAAAACACTTCCAAGATTCAAATTCGGTGAAAACCTTGAATTCTTTTGAAAATGATATGGGACAAAATCAAAATACATAAAAACATTAATGTGAATTTACTGCAGTGCTACCTTCAAAAGTATGAGACTTCTCTGTTATTTGTATGGATCCAGATTGCACATTGTTATGATTCGATTCCGTTTTAAAATATTATTCTTGGCTTGTGTAGCATTTAAAGAATGGTGTAATATTAAGAGTATGAGCAGATACTAAAACCTCTCAACCCTATGTCTGAATTTAAGCCGAGTTGAGAACCTGGAGAATAGGATCAGTGCACTCCAGGACCTCATACAGGATAGACGATAGAACTTAGCTCTGTTAATCCAACTAAGGCCTGGGGACTTGCACTTCATGGACAGCTCTCAGACTGATATATCTTTGCCAGGACTACCAGAGGACTAAGGAGAACACCATCCTCTAATGAATATACATCCTCGGAATCTTCAGCATCACTAAGGATATCAGAGGAGGCTCTGTATTCCCCAGCTTGCTCTCAGACAGAACCACAGGAGACACAGAGCAACTAGAGGATCCAGTCTTTATCCTCCAGCCGGATCTATGAACAGAGTTACTGTGGCCATGGAGCAGCTTAGCTGTTTATATTGAGAAGCTCCATATTCTCGAGTTGGTTCTATTGACAGGGACACCCGAGATACAGAGAAGCCAGGACCTCTAGGACATGCAGAAGCTCCATATTCGAAAGCTGGTTCTCTGGACAGAAACACTTGAGATATGAAGCAGCTAGAATACCAATATAGACCAAGGACTCCAGGTGAAGAATAGAACATAAGGATCTATGAGGACAGGATCTATCGTCCTTCAGAAATGATTAAGAAACCAGGAGGTCTAAAGATAAAAGGATCTGGTATCAGAGATGGAAGAAGCTGCTCGTTGCAGACAGCTCTCTATCACCCTATTCTAGAAGCAGCAGAACCAGATGATTCTGAGTACGGAGATGCCACTGATTGCAGGGTAGCTCTGTACACATCTGTGGTAACAGAAGCTGCAGGACACATAGGAGAACTAGGGTATCCAGGACACAAATGAGAACTAGGATATCCAGGACACAGAGAACTAGGGTATCCAGGACACATAGGAGAACTAGGATATTCAGGACACAGGAGAACTAGGATGTCTAGGACACATAGGAGAACTAGGATATTCAGAACACATAGGGGAACTAGGATATCCATGATCCTGAGAATGGAGACGCCGCTCATTGTGGAACGACTCTTCATGGACCTGTTGTGGAACCAGTAGCAGAACAAGAGGATCCTGTGACAGGAGACGCTGCTCTTAACAGACAGCTCTTCACAGATATATTGCAGAAACAATTTTTTTTAAAACCTTTTACTAAAAGTAAAAGTACCCAGGATTCAATCCTGTAAAAAGGACAGAGTTTGCTCGCATCCTGATCGTTAGTGCTATGGTCGGCACCTCCCGGCTTGTAAGTATTGCGAACATAAAGACTCTAGGAACAGTTCCGGGAGGGGCTCGGATTGTAAGAATGGCTAAAATAATAGGAACAGAGTTTGCTCGAAAAAGCACATACCAATCGTTTGTGCTATGGTCGGCACCTCCCGGATTGTAAGTATGGGGAACATAAAAATTCTAGGAACAGTTCCGGGAGGGGCACGGATTGTAAGAACAGCTAAAATAACAGGGACTCATAGAGCAGCTCCATAGTTAATGAAGAAGCTGAGGACACAGTAAGAGCATCCCAGATTTTAGGAACAGTCAGAGTTGCAGAGACTCCGGGAGAAGCTCCGGTAGTAAAGGAAGCAGGTAGGAAGATGGTAGAAGCTCTGGAGAGACCCGAGCAGCTGAACGAGATAGTACAGTTTAGGAAGCTGCTCAGACAGTTCCTGAACAGTAACAGCTGAATATCTAAAGGAACTGATTAAAACATGAAAAAACCTTACAGATGTATCTAATAAATAAACTATGAAACTGATCATTCCCAATTCATTTGTACTCAGATATGTATAAAGAGATCGATACTAAAACAAGAGTAAAGGGATCTAGAGTGAAATATTTGCGTAAACCTAAATCACGGGTGAAAATGATTGATCTGAAAAATTCCTAGGATTTACATCTGGCTTGTATCTGATAAAACATATTAAAATTTTAAACTTGCAGAACATTTCATTGCTAATTATTGACCTATAATGTAACAACCTGATTTGGAGGTTACTTCCAAGTTTAATTGTTTAATTCAATAAGATTACCATTATAAACTTTTCATAGATATATTTTTTCAGGAAGAGTTATGGAAAACTGTTAATAGAGTTCTCATATGAACTTTCAAAATTTGAAGGTAGAAAGAGATTAGTCATAATACATTATAAACACAGGGGAATCTTGCAGATAATTTAATCAAATAAAACCTTGCGTGTCTACTGTCTAGTTCTGATGCATGTTTTGTTTCAAAAGAACTGATGATACTCTTCAAATTGTAAAATCTCTGCAGTCCTACAATGTAGAATCAGAACCTTTTTTTTACGTTTTTATGTGTTATTTCCATTTTTTGATGAATCAAAGTTAAACGAAATAATGAATGGATCTTGCAGTAAATGCTATTACATTTGTGTAGGCAAGACTGGGAGTCCTGAGAAACCGTTATCAGATCTTGGTCTTTTGTCTTACAGAAGCTACTGGACACATGCCATACTCCTGGTAAATTTTAAAAGGGGGTTTTGAATAGATCGTTAACAAGTTAGAATTTAGTTGTAACATTTCTTTTCTAAGTTGAAAGTTATTTTTGTTACTGAAAAGAGTTAGTTACACAATTTATGTACTTACTTAATGATTGTGTCCAGATAAGCCATAATCTCTTACTTGTAATTTCTGTAACTTTATTAAATGTGAATAAATCTAATAATTGAATTTTAAAACAACCAGGAGTCCTGAGAATAATTAAACATAAACAAGCAATATTTGAAAGGATGTTAGGTACTTTCCCACAGGCATTTTTCCAAGCAGACACTTCCAAAGGGTATTTTCCACAGAAGGCCTAACCTAACCTTATAAGTACATTTGGAAATTTTCACTTGGGGGAAAAGACCTTGGGAAAGTACCTAACATCTTTGAAGGTGATCCTGGGAACTAAAGGAAGTGAGGAGGGTGAACCTCCACAGATAACTATTAATGAGATCTGTGAACAGACAAGTATCAAGAAGGAGGATGTTATTTCTACTCTACAGGTTGGTTTCTTGTTTTCTATTCTTTATACCAAGGTCAAAACTTGTTGATCAGTACCATAAATTGAAAAAATCCGCAAAAATTGTATGTGATAAATCAGCAATTTTATTTCTGGTTTAATTGTTTCAGCAAGGATATCAATTAATAGTAGGGGAATTATAGCAGTACTAGAAATTCAAGGCGCTTCGCGCCCTTCTTTCTAGCCTTAGAGGGCGCTTCGCGCCCATCTCCTAAATTAATTGTGAACATGTTCTCTTTGTGTACATCGTAAAACAAAACAAAAATAATTCGCGGATTTTCACAAAAAATTTCGCGGATTTTAAAAATTTAATGACGATCGAATTTTGATGGAGACAAATATTTGAAATTTTGATGATCCATAAACCTTCCCTGGAGTCCCTAGATGTCCCACAAAAAATTTGGGCTCGATCGGTTCAGCCGTTTTGACGTTTATTGGATATAAACAGACAGACAGACAGACAAACAGACAAGCCAAATTTATATATAGATAATGGCTTCATTAGAATGGAGGACATTTCAAACAATGTATAACATTTGGAGATATTATGAAAATATCTGAATTGTTCAACCTGGTCTTTATGAAATTATATGAATTGACAGAAAAAATCTAGTTAACCATTTTTGTTGTCAAAATTTCAATCGATTTGGCGCAACATGAAACTTATTTTATTATAATTTTAAATTATTTTCGAAAATATGAACCTGATTAACTACTATGTTGGTTTTAGTGAAGAGTGTGGTGGACAATTTGTGTAACAGCAACAGCTGTCAACTTTAGCTAGTATATATCATAATTTACTATTTAGTCCATGAACCTGATTAACTACTATAAGGGTCAGTACATCATTTGTCTACAGAAGGATTTATTGGACAAACATCAGAAGGTGAATTATTCATTTAAAACATCAGAGACACAGGCGGGGAATTAACTATTTCTTTACTATTAACGAGGATTTACCAGGGAGAACTGCCAACTTTACTGGGAAATATCACAAGTAAAAGTCAATTTCCGGTGAAGTTAAGTTCTCCCGAAGGAAACTTTCGCTACAAGTAAATAACTAGTTTTATCCCATTCTTTACGCAACATTATTAACCGATTACACTTTTCAATAATAACTAATAAGTGTGTACAATTGTGTTGTCTTAATACTAAAAAAGTTATATTTTTTATAAAACTTTGAAATTTAGCTTTATTCATCTTGTAAATGCGCGAATGCACATTCTCTCCCTAGGGCGAACACAAATTATATTTACACTATTCTCTGGGAGAAAAAGTTAAACGAGTAGGGATGAACAAGGTTAATAATGATGCTCAGAATTGTCTAAATTAATATTCTACTGAAATCAAATAAATTCCCTTTTCCAATAAATTATCGACAGGAAATAAAAAAATATATATTTTAGTATATGTTAAAAAATGGGGGGAGGGCAGGGGTATTTGGGTATATGTTTTCTTTGTCCCCCCCCCCTCATCCCCTCCTGATTTTATGACAGAAACCGTTCAAATCTAATAAATATAGGAGATGAATAAGAGAGCTCAGAAGATTGATTCCAGATGTTTACACTGGACGCCAAAAGATTGGAGTAAAAGATCTAAATAACCAGGTGGAGCATTGTTCACTTCTGTTTTAGAAATAAAAGGTACGGTAAGCTAACCTTTATGTGACCCTTTATTCAAAGATTTCAAAGCTCTATTTACAACGGTACCCTTGAAAGCTTTGTCTGAACAAGAATGAATTAGATATCAATGTTTTAGTTTTAAAAACTGATTATTTTCATTTGAAGTTTCATACAGAAATGACTTGCAAATTTTACTGTAAGAAAGCCTATAAAAATTATGTGTATTAAAAAGATTTAAACCTAGAAATATCTTCTACATCTTTTATATCCAATAATAAAGAGTCACTTGGAATGACGCTTACAGTCCCTTTAATAAAAAATACATTTAAAACATAGCTGTTTTCTATTTAGATTAGTTTAATTTGTAAAGAATGTTTAAGAAAAGTTATTACCGAGTTAAAAGCTATAAATTGATCGGGAAAAAAATATCTAAACTCAACAAGATTTAATTTTAGGATTCCTGAAACCCTGGTTCAGAAGTGTACCTGAAAATATGTGTTGAATTATTTTAGTTAATGAGAATTCAGTGTCCACTGTCCAGATACAATGTTTATTGTAAAGTAATATTTTCATTGATTTAATAGTTGTGTTTAATGGACAAGTTGGGAAAAATCACCATTTAATTCTAAAATTGAGATTCACAACCCTCTCACTATTGCCTATTGTTTTTCCATTAAGCTTTGGCCAATAAGATTAATGATATCTTTAAAGTAACTTTTCTTTTTTGTAAATAATTGTCATATTGTAATAAACTTGAATTATGTTGATTGTACCTAAAATTTCAGACAAATGAGTTTCTAAGATGGCGCAGCTGGTTAGAAAGCGTGCTGTGTGGAACTTGGTTTCCGGGCTGTGTAAATATTCAGCGGCATTTCCTCATCAAAATATGGTAGTTTCTAAAGGGGATGGTGGAGTTGGCACATTTGATGTAGGGGGGGGGGGGGCCC